TCTTTTCTTTCTCAAATATTTTATCACCCAACTTTATGAAAGTGATCCCAATATATCGAAGAACGAGGTAGATATTTGGCTTAAAACTGATTTTGCATCCTAGTTTCATCGACATGTGAGTATAAGAAAGTAAAGATTTTTTTTATTATGAAAACATTTTTATTAAATTTCATATTAACATTAAGTAATGGATCTAAACTTTAGAGGCAAGTAATGCACAATCCAATACGATAACGAGATCATTACATTAAAGATCTAGCAAAAGGACCATTGCGAACAACTAAGTCGTATCCGAGATATATTATAAACGAGTATAGGTTTCACACAAATGTTTATAGTTCGGAGAAAGCAACAATGTTTAGTGGAGTGTGTGCAAAAGGAGTTAACTATAGTGTGGTGAAAAATGACTACTATGGTAGGTTGATTGATATACTCGAACTTAAGTATCCTACCTTGTCAATTAAGAAAACCATATTATTCAAATGTGATTGGTATGATACTACACCTAGCATTGGTATAAGAGTTCATGATCATTATGGATCGGTGGAGTCGTAGAACATCAAATAAATCTGATCCCTTCATACTAGCATCACAAGTGCATCAAGTATATTATGTAACATATCCTACATCAAAACACATCGGACGTGATTGGTTGGTGTTATGTAAGGTAAAACCTAGGTCAATGATGGATGTATCCGAATCGTATATTACTCGTCGACCAACCAAATATCGAACCCTTTCATGAAAAAAAATGAAAGGCCTACACAATGTTGTCCAAGTTAATGATGACGAAGGTTACTCATTGAATGATCCAACTGGAGCATTAGTAAAATTAATATAGAGAATGAAGATGCATTTGAAATAGATGTTGAGAAAGATTTAGATGAAGAATGTGACAATGATGACCATGATACTGATTAGCAATATGGTAGATCTTATTAGATTATGTAATATTGATTTTTATATTCAATGGACATATTATCCATATGGATTTTATATAATTGCGGTAGCAAATCGGGGGTTCAAGCAACCTTGTCCTCCCGGATTGTTGGGCTAGGCTGGTTTTGTCCCTCCATGTAATTTTTCAAGTGATTTCAATATATCTTTACGGTACCCTTCCTGTTTTATACCCAAAAAAAAACATAGCGATATGGTTTTATTGTCCTACATAGTTTACTTATACTTTTTAAGGTAACATTTAAATATATGTACGTGTGTCCATGTTGTTTGATATATGTTATTTGTTAAATAAATATATTTAAAATTATTCATATTAATATGAATGTTATATGTTAGTATTATATAATGACTATTTTATTTTAATACTAATGAATATAATAATATGTACGTTATAATGCCTCGAGGTAGGAGACGTTCTTCTATGCAATGGCTCATGTTATACGGTGAGGGTCCCGGTTTAGATGCCGATTCGAGCGGTGATCATGGAAGTGGATGCCATTCTCCTTCCTTTCCTGGTTAGATGGGCCCCCCATAGATATGCCTCCGTACCACCTTTCTAGTTCTCCCTCGATACATCCTTCGAGGCCCGATATGCCTCGACTCGAGCCGTATCCTTATTATGGACCTCCACATCCCCATCCATCTTTCCCTTCATCGTCGTTAATGCCCTCATCATCACAACAAGACAATCATTTTTGTTCCTAATCAAGTCCCATCGTAAAACGTCCCTTGTCTATCGGCTTCGGAGCCTATCGGATTCACGCTCGATCCACAAGTTACGATCATTCTCATTGGTCGCAATGAGTATGTTTTATGCTTAATTTTATAAAATATTTTTTTCTTTATTACCATAATTATGTATTCATTTATTTTATAAATTAATATCTATTTTCATAAGTTGTATCCTTCTGATTTTTGCACTCGTATGATCTATAAGACATTCCACGAGTATGTTCATATTTACGGATGGACGTGGAAGAAAGTGAGTCGGAAAACAAAAGACTTCTATTGGAAAGAGTTTAAGGTACTAATTTATTTAATTAATTTATTAAATTACTTTATATTTAAATAATAAATAATAATATCCAATTAAATGTACTAATGAATATTATTATTTTTCTTTCGGAAATCATTTACGAGGAATGATAACATCGAGAGCAAAGTTAAGAAACTGTGGGAAAGTCTAGCACGAAGGCGGTATTCTAACTTTCTTTTTTGTCTCAAGAGAAGCCCAAAGCCAACATTTATCTCACAAGAAATATGGGATGCATGGCGTGCGGAATGGAGAAAACTTGAAGCCATTGCTTTATCCGATATGGCGGTATGAAACCGCAAGAGCAAGACCGATGGCGCCAAAGCTAGTCCTTCAAGACATACGGAGGGGTCAATCAGCCATAGAGAGCACGCAATACTCATGGTGTATTATATATATATATATATATATATATATTTGTTTCAACGTAAAGTATTGGATCGTGAATGCGATTCTCATGAGGTTTTCTTAAGGACTCATCGGAGAAAGGTTGATGATCAATATGTCTTCGTCGATCAATGATCAAGAGTTATTGATGTAATTTATTAGTTTATAACGTTATTTTACATAGTTGTTTAATATTATGTCTTTCACAAATATGCGGGAGATCATAGAAAGATTAATAAATGAGGAGGAGGTTGATAGCCAGACGGATCGAGGGCACTTCATTGATCGACATCAACATTAATGAGATTTTTCGAAAGGCCATTGGTGGAGGAGATAATAAAAGAAAGAGGCTATACGAACTCGGATCACACGCATCTCAATATTACTCTAACGTCGGTACAATCTCTAGTTCGACAACTTCGCGGTTCCATGTCGGTAATTAGGCACGGCGAAAGAAAGTCGAGGATTAAACAACAACAAATATGATAGAGATCTAAAAGCTACGAGGTACTATCACAACATTGTTGGCTATAACAAATGAGTTGGAGTACACTTGACAACAACATCCGATGATGACACGGATGCGACGAGATGTTTCTATAGCATATTCGAGCAAGGTGGCGGTTCATCCGTCCCGCTCGAGACCGACGATAACCCCGACAAACCTCTAAATGATTCCATCCAACCTCCGAGTGACGATCCCGCCAATCTCTCCTCGTTATCATGTTTTCTTATAATAACAACAAATTTTCTACTTGTTTCTAATAATTTAATAATTGAATAATATTTATTTTATTTTAATAAAATTATGAAATTTTACAATATTATGTTTTGGGTATTTATTAGACTTTTAAATAGCAATTGGTTAACTTCAAATATTTAAATTGAGGGTAAAAAAATATTGAAAATAATCTTTTAGCGATGGTTTTAACGATTGCTAATTATGCATTTATTGCAACGGGAAACAAACTGTCGCTAAATTGCGACGGTCCTAGCAACGGCTTTGTTTTACCATCGCAATATTTCCTCGCTTTGCTACCATTTTCCGTGATGGTTTTTTTTAATTTTACGAGGGTTTTGTCCGTTGCTAACTTAGCGACGAGTCTATAAACTATCACAAAATTTTAGCACTAGCATTTTACGGATAGATTTTGTATCATCGTAAAACCGTCGTTAAATTTAATTAGTGATGGTTTTTTTAGAATTAGCGAGTCTAGATCGTTGCTAATCCCTTAATTTTTTGTAATGAATTCCAAGAAACATACGAATTCGAGTTCGACCTCCAGTAGCTCTTTCTACCTCATTCTTCTTAATTTCCTTAATCCTTTACCTGATCTTCTTATGGACAATAATATGACCGCACTCTCTCCCTCGGGTACTCTTAATTTGTTAATTTGCACTTTATTATTTCATGTTATCTACTTTTTCTCACCATTTCATCTTCTGTCTTCAAGATGTCCTAGTTTTTATGCACTTCTATGGATCGCTTAGTTTGCTTTCTTCCATTTTCTTTTTCCTCTTCATACGATAGTGCTATTGCATATGTTTTTCGAATGATTTTGTTTTAGCTTTTTCTTTCAATGAGGATTTCATGTTTTCTGATTTAATTCAAGCTTCATCTTGTTCGCATCAAAATAATATCTTTTCTAATGTAGGAGAACGCTATTGAGACGTATGTCAAGAGCTTAATTTTCAGATATCCTTACTAGAATAGGACTTTAGGGCTACTGAAGAGGTTCCCTTTCTCCAGAAGAATGCAGTTCGACTATTTTGTTGACCAAGTTACAAAAGCAATCTTATCGAACAACACATTTCTCAATATTTGAAAATTTGAGTGCATCAAACAAGCAAAGTTTCATTTCTCAATGGTAAATCACTTCGTTTTCCAGTTGCTCCATAATTTATTTCAGTTTTCTCTCACAGCTTAATTGTCATATTTTATATTAGATCAACCAGAAAGTATATTAAATCCATACCATAAACTCTTTGGTATTGTGAGGGTAATGCATCAATTCATTGGGTAGAAAATGCAAGAAAAACTAATCTGACATTTGAATACACCTAACGAATTGCAACTTGATGACCTCTGAAACAAGTCATGATTCCTAAGAACATTCCTTCTTGTCATAATTGTGCATCAAAATTTACAATAGATAAGTTGTACTTGAACCAAGCCATGGAAAGAGTTTATTGCTCTGCAGGGTTCAATATCCTTGCTTTTAGTTCAGTTCTAACTGTAAGAACCAGGGGTAGGCATGCATGAAGATTTAGCCACTAAAATTTGAATGTGTGTGTTAAGTTCTACAATGATTAGATAGAAAAAAAATAGCACCTATATTCTAAAACACAATCAACAAAAATCACTACAAATTATAAAAGATGAGGAAAAAAGTAGATCCCTAAATTTGTCATTCTCTTTTCCATACGCTCCACAATTTATTGCAGTTTTTACGCAGAATGTGATTGCACAATACACAAACAAAAGCTGAAGTATACAGAAGCAATCTTAGTGAACAACACATTTCTCAATATATGAAAATTTCAGTGATCAAAAAAGCAGAGTTTCATTTTCTTTCAATACATAAACGAAAGATATTAAATTGTTCATATTTCTACTGGATCAGCTTTTACTAACTCCACAGTACTTGGTAAAATGGCGGCGCAGACAAAGTTCGTACATCACCATATGCAATGCATCAAGTTGAAGTGGAGATAGATTCCACTGGAAGTGCTTCCGGACCTGATTCATGAGTAGGGAAGTCAAGAAATTAGACAGTTCATGATCGTGTTGTTATGCAGGGCTTCATATTCTTGATTTGGTATGCCTTGGAGGATTTTCTTTAGTTCATAGACATCATTATGCTTGAGTATTACAGAGAATTTCTTCCAGTCAAGAATGTCATTGAATGGTAAATCATAGTATTCAGACAAGATAACTGTACAAAGTTGCACAAATTGCTTAGAAAAAAGCTTAAAGATAACAATATTACCGAAGACTCCAGTGCAGAGAACAGATGAAAGAACTATGATATATTACCTAGAACACATCCACAATTAATTGCAACTGCTATAACACCATCCAGTCGAGGGCCTCCGGGACATATGCAAAACTTGGACATGGATACATTGCCATGGCATGCCCAACGTCCTTTTATGGTACTAGCTTCCAATCCTTTTTGGATGTTAAATTCTCGATCAAATCCCCAAGAGTTAACCAGCTTCTCTCTTATATAAGAATCAGGTTGACCAATCCAGAAAGCTAATGTATTCCTGCAACATATACATGCCACGTATTGTTATGGTAAATTGATAGTGAAATTCTGTAGTTACATTCTTAAAATGACAGAAGTCATTAGATTATAAATAAAAATATCTGCAGAGTGTTTTATGTTACCTTTCTCGTGTGTCATTTCCAGCTGCAGAAACATTAAATGGCTGCATAATTTATGGGAGGGAAACATGCTTATGAGGAACATATTCAACATCATAACTTGGAGAACACATGACTCTAATTGAGTTCTTCAAAAGATTAGCAATTCTTACAGTAGCAGTCACATGAATGTCTACGCAGTTTATGAAGAAGCGATAGGTGCCTAAAGTTGGGTTCCAATAAGGGTAGTTGGAAATAAGGCTGTTGACGAAATCCTCGACGGCAATAGCCCTTTCATCCTCCGATCTCCCCTGCACATAACAACATCAGTGAATAAAACATGAGCTTCAACACAGAGCCTTAATATAAAGAAATTAGAAGCATTGAAGTATCAATGGAATAAAACATCAGTGAATAGAGCATAATTTATACAACAAAAATGAAATAAGAATCTGCTAATACAAAAGAAATTGCCATCAACAGGACTAAATATCATTTAAGTCATAATGTACTAATATCATGTCACTAAAGAAAAGATCAAGAAAACTACCTATTCAAAAAACAATCCAAAAACACTTGTAATCAAGAAACAAGTACATCAATAAGTTATACATCAGCAGGCAACGAATGATAAGATATGGGGATGAGGATGTAAAAATATGAGAATAGATTAATATATTTCACATATTGAAGTGCATAAGTATATATATATATATATAGGTCTATGATCAATCTAAATCCCTATAATCAAGCTATCATTAACTTCCTAGAAATTAGCTCCTCAATCAGCCTTATAATTGACTTACTATATTTACATGAGAATCAATCCTATAGTGGACTTACTATATTTACAACACTCCCCCTCAAGCTGGAGCATAGATGTTAATCATGCCCGACTTGTTACAAATATAATCAATCCTAGGACCACCTAAAGTTTTGGTGAAGATATCGCTTAGTTGTTCTCCGGCTTTGATATGAATTATAGAGATCAATCCTTGTTGAATTTTCTCACGGATAAAGTGACAATCGATCTCAATATGCTTAGTTCTTTCATAAAAAACTAGATTTGATGCGATATGAATAGCAACTTGATTGTCACACCATAATTTCATAGGAAGAGGATTTTCAAGACCAATCTCATTTAACAATTGAGATATCCACATAAGTTCGCACGTGGATTGGGTCATAGCTCTATACTACGATTCTACACTAGATCAAGACACAATATTCTGCTTCTTGCTTTTCTATGACACCAAATTCCCACCAACAAAGACACAATACCCTATAGTAGATCTTACGTCAATCTTAGATCCATCTAATCCGCATCCGAGAAACACTCAATACTTGGAATGGCCATAATTACTATAGAGTAAACCATGCCCCGGAGTCCCTTTGAGATACCATAAGATCTGTTTTAATGCCGCCCAATGAGTAACTCGAGGAAAGGACATAAACTAACTCATAATGTTGATAGGATATACGATGTCGGGGCGAGTTACTTGTGAGACAATTTAGCTTTCCAACTAATCTATGATATCTCTCGGAATCAACAAATAACTCTCCATCATCCGTTGTAAGCTATAGATTAGTAGCCATTGGTACACTAGAAGGTTTAGCTTCTAATTTTCTAGTTTCTTTTAGTAGATCAAGAATATACTTTCGTTGAGAAAGAAAAATACCCTTCTTGGATCCGATAACTTCAATACCCAAGAAATACTTCAATAAACCAAAGTCTTTTGTTTGGAATTTGGTATGGAGAAAAGACGTAAGGGCTAAAATACCAACATCATCACTATCGGTAATCACAATATCATCAACATATATAATTAACAAAATAATAATAGTTTTCGACCATTGGTAGAAATAGTATGGTCACAAGTATTCTTTTTTATACCAAATTCTTGAACTACAGACCTTGAATCACCCAAACCAAGCACGAGAACTCTGTTTTAACCCATACAAAAACTACCAAAGTTTACAAACTTTCCCATACTCCCCTTGAGCAACAAACCCAAATGGTTGCTCCATATAGACTTCCTCCGAGCAAATCACCATGAAGAAAAGCATTCTTGACATTAAGCGATGTAAGAGCTAACCATTAGTAGCGACAATAGAGATAAACAAACAAAAAAATGCAAGTTTAGCAACCGGAGAAAAAGTATCAAAATAATCTATATCATATGTCCGAGCATATCTTTTTGCAACTAATCTAGCTTTGAGACAAGCCACGGTTTCCGTCAAGATTAACCTTAACAACATACACCTATTTACAACCAATAGCATGTTTACCTTTTGGGAGATGTACCAATTCTCAAGTACCATTACCATCTAAAGCCATCATTTCCTCCTCCATAGCAATCCACCAATCGGGATCGGACAAGGCCTTATGTAATATTTTAGGTACGTAAATCGAATCTAACGAAGTAATAAAATAATACAAAGAAAGAGACAAGTGATCATAAAAAGCAAATGAAGAGATAGGATGAGAACATTAGTGTTTAACTTTACAAAGAGCGATGGGAAGATCAAGACTAGGATGCTGTAGAGGAAGAGCTGGTAAAGGATGTGAGTCCTAATTTGGATGTAGATCTCATGGATGAGTATGGCGACGGTAAACTTGAGTGATAGGTAGCTTAATGGGTATATGAGATCCATTAGTTGTAGTCACAGTATATATGAGAATATCATCTTCCTCCCCTTCACAACTATATGTAGTAGGTTCATGAAAAAATGAAATAGTCTTAAAAAATGTTTACATTAGTTAAAATCAAATAACGACCCAAAGTAGGAGAATAACACCTATAACATTTTTGAAGATAAGAATATCCCAAAAAGACACACGTAAGAGATTTTAGATCTAACTTAGACACTTTGGGATTAACATCACAAACAAAACATGTATAACCAAAGACATGTGGTTCTATTGGAAATAAAGACTAAGATGGGAATAAAACGGAATAAGAAGTATCGAAGAAAGAATAGAGGAGGGTATCCGATTGATTAAGAAACATGTTGTAGATATATTATCAGCCCAAAATTGTTTAGGAACTTTCATCCGTAAAAGAAGAGCTCTAGCAACCTCTAGTAAATGTCTATTTTTCCATTCAGCAACACCATTTTAAGGTGGTGTGTCGACACATGATAATTCATGAAGAATTCTATTTTGTGTCACATGGGTATTGAATGACGCAGAGAAATATTCTTTTGCATTATCACTCCTTAAAACACGTACTAAAACATTAAATTGAGTTTGAGTTTCAGCATAAAAAGCACAAAATATAAAGAACAATTCAGATCAACTTTTCATTAAATATAACCAAGTAACACGAGAATAGTCATTAATAAATGTGACAAAGTATCAAAAATTAGTTATAGAAGCCATTGGACAAGGACCCCCAACATCGAAATGAACTAACTTAAAGGGTGACATAACCTCGTTTATTGACCCTAGGAAAATACGACACACGGTGGTGTTTAGTAAACCGACATGACTCATATTCTAAAGCAAATAAATTCTAAAACTAAGGAAACGAGTTTTTTAAAACAAACAAAGAAGAATGTCCTAACCGATAATGCAACTCTAGAGATGTTATAATACCGGAACAAGCAATAGGTCATGGTATAGGTTATGATATAAGTTAAAGATGATACCACCCTCCGGACTCACGTCCTCTACCAATAATCTTTCTCATCGTAAGATCCCGAAATAGACAATAGTCGGAAAAAAATAAGAAACAACAATTGAGAGCTCGAGTGATTTTACTGATTAATAGTAGATTAAATGAAAAATTGGATAAACATAACATAGATGACAAAGAGAGAAATGATGTAGGAAGAACTATTCCAATTCCTATAACAAATGTGGTTGACCCATCGACCGAGTGACACTAGGAAGATTTTTATGTGAAACAAAGGAGGAGAGAATATCTTTATTACTCGTCATGTGATCCGTAGCACCTAAATCAATGACCCATTTGGAACGAGGATGACACGAAGACATGTAGTAGGTTTACCTATCTCATCACCGATAGCTGGAGGTGGATTGAAAAACTTTAGTGAGGATTGATACCAATTAAATTGAGCAAAGTCATCAGCGAGACACCATTATAAACTTCTTAGATGAGGAAGAGGCGGGACTAGCCTCTTGGGCTAGTCTCGCAATATGAACTGTAATAACATCGGATATTATACTTTTCTTCTCTATTCCATCAGCCATTAAAAAAAAAAAAAAAGGAAGGAAGAAAATAGGACAACAAGGTCACGACGGCTCACTAGGGCGGCAGAGAAAAGAGAAAAAAAATGTGATAGCTCATTAGGGCAACGGCGAGCAACTACTCAATTAGGGCGGCAAGTTACGATACCATATAGAAATATGAGAATAGAATAATATATTTCATATATTAAAGTGCATGAGTACAATATGTATATACATAGATCTATGATCAATCTAAATCCCTAGAATCAAACTGTCATTAACTTCCTAGAAATTAGCTCCTCAATCGGCCTTATAATTGACAATCCTATAATTGACTTACTATATTTACATGAGAATCAATCCTATAGTGGACTTACTATATTTACAATAGAGGAAAAGGCGAGCCTTATCGAGATCTTTCGTCAAGAAACGACTCTTGTCAAGATTCTCAAAGAACAGTCCTTCACTCTCATACTCGCCATCAAGCTTCTTTGGCTTGTCACGGAGACTAGTATTATGTGGGTACACAAAGATCTTGAAGTTCTTCTCCATTTCCACATAATCCATGATGAAATCCTCAGGCATGTGAAAGAGTTCAGCAAAAATATCAGAATGTTTAGCATAAGATTGAAGTGGCTCCTATATCAAAAACAAATGCAAGAAAAGGGGCGTAAATCCCATAACCATAATCTTTAAGGAACTGAAATTGATCTCCAAAGCCCATAAACTGCATAAAAAAGAACGGGAAAACAAAATGCAAGAGAGTGGAGCAAAGTTGAATATATCTGATAATCTTTAAAAGAAATGAAGTTGACCAACAATTCCATGAAAATGAACAGTGAAGGAATATGCAAGAAAGTCAGAAAATGTTAAAGAAATTGCAACGAAATGAATGAGTCTAATAGTAATCCTCAAAGAACTGAAGTTGACCTTCAGATAAGAAAATTGCATAAAAATGAACAGTGAAGAAAAAAATGCAAGAAAATGAGGGAAGGTGAAAGAAAGAAAAGGCAAGAAAGTGAGGGAAAGTGAAAGAAAGGAAAATGCAAGAAAGTGAGTACCTGAAAGGAAAGTGGGAATTCAGGGCGATAGATTAAGAAGCAGAGTGCAAGAATTGTAACAAAATGGCAGGCCAATTCTCGTTTCAGAGTCCAAAATTCTTTTTACTGGATATTGTGGGAATTTTAGGCTTTTCATGGCTTTTTTCTTGGATGGATTCTTTTTTTCTTTTCCCTCGGGAAAATTGAAGAGAGAAAGTAAGAGAGCACTGAAAGCATAGGCTTACTTTTCAAGAGAGAGATAGACACAAAGTGAAGAGAAAAATAAGAGAGAAAATTTAAAAAAAAATTGAGTCAATGTGGAAATTTTTCAATCACTGTTGATTAGTCCAAATATGATTCCACCTTAGTTCAATTTTTTTCTCTCTCTCTCTTTTTTATTTCTCTGTTCTCTTTGGGTCTATTTTTCTCCTAAAGAGTGTTATAAAATTTCTTCTCAAAAGTGGTTTCTTGCTAAATCTATATGGGCTTAAACCTAGGCATTTTCTTTTATAGGGAAATAAAGCCAGAGGGAGGAAGATAATTGCCTGTAGTTAGTTACAATCTGCAATGCTCTTAAATTGACGTAATCATCATTTTAAAGAAAAAAGAGGAAAAAAAGAAAAAAGAATAGATATTTCAAAGCAATAAAAATAAAATTGAGATAATAACAAAATTGGAGCAGTAAAAAAGGGAAAAAGAGGGTGTTGGATGATAAAGAGTAAAATAGTCCTTATATGGTATGGCTTGTTAAACCATATGATTTGAGCTTTTGGTGCTAATATTGCAGCTGCCAAATTCAGTAAGAAAAACAAAAAACCTGCTGTCATATCTGTATCCTGTTTGAAAGCTAGGCTTCTCTTGCAATTTGTGACTCAAAATGGTATGAAATTTGGGGAAATTAATGACAAGAGCAAGACATGATAGGACGAAGTTACGCCAGTTTGCATAGTTATAAGCTTTTCAGGTAGCATGTTTGGTTCAGAATTATTTGGATTCCTGATAACCCTCATTGCTTAGAGTACTTTATTATGATCTTGAGTTGAGGGCTTCAAAATACACATCCTCAAACTGATGAAGAAACCTGCCAGCTAACGTTATAGCAGTGCCTTCAACAGAAATATAATTTGCAAGAACAAGATATTGTCAATTACTGGTAGGCTCAACTGCTTCATATAAACCTCAACATAACATTCATAATGGAAGAGATATCTCTATCAGTTGAAGTACACAAGGGTAAGAAATAGAATAGATGAAAAACAAAGTGTTAAAAGTACTTTTTAAGGTCACCAATCACAGCAGCAATGTTGGGGAAAGATCAATCACAGGAACAAATACATCCAGTAATGTTAAGAAGAGCTTTCCGATTCAGAGAAATCGAAGGAAAATGTTGCTTGTCCTTTCTGTACAGGAGGTGCAGAGTTTTTGAGGCACACCCATAGCTCATACGTAAACATATGAAATGCATCGTATTTTACTTGAACTGAATTCCACTGGAAGTGCTTTTGAACCTGCTATCCAAAATATACGAAAAAGGTCTATCTCAAAGGCCGCATAAATTCCCAAAGATTTCATTTGGTCACCAAGTTATTTCTGCAACGAAGGTGCCAACAAAGAACCTCCATACATTTCGGGCAAATGCTTTCAGGAAGCAAGCACCACTGGCACCTTAAAATGAGCTTGCAGTTATTTATTTATTTTTTTTGGGAAAAAAAAAAGAAATTTGGTTAAGACAACAACAAAATCTTGGCAAAATCACTTCTGTCTACCTTAATAACATTTTGACGCATTTTCTTGAACTTCCCTTCTGGTGTGCCTTCAAGAATTTTCTTTAGATGGGGAACATCATCCTCCTTGACAATTACAGAGATTTTATTCCAGTCAAGAATGTCACTGAATGGCAAGTCATAGTAGTCGGGCAAGATGACTGCAGAAAAACACAATAACTGCTTAGAAAACCAACCAGAAAACAGCTTACAAGGAAAAGCATGTAACAGTTCAAGATCAAAAAAAATGCAACAGAATGTTAAACAGACTTGAGAATCCATAGATGCTTTCTTTTCTGTCCATTGGCATAAAATTATGATGGCACATGGCCCCAACTTGCATGCATGCCTGTGGTAAATTAGCCATCCCTTTTTCTTTCTTTCTGATTTCAATGTCTGTGCTTGACAGAATAATTTCTTGCTTGATATTATTGCAAATCATTAAATACTGTAAAATGTCCTTTAGGATGACAATTTATGGAAGTGTAGAAGTGTAGCTTTGCAAGGGGTATGATAATGAAGTATTTCAGCTATCTAGAACTTAAACAATAGCAGTGTATGAGAAACATGCTTACTAGGAACGCATCCAAAACCGATTGAGTTTGCTAAACAAATTCCATTGATAAACCATAAGAGATTATAAAACTTGAGGAAACCTCATGCCAGACTTACTGTTCTGGAATTGAGCAAAAAACATTTACAAAAGTTGAAGAGATGACAAGTTATTCACTATCAGAGACAATATAATACTCAATTTGACTTTGGATAGAATAAAATGTTTCCTTCTAAATTCAAATACAGCATAGTTAGAATAAAGAAAATAGAAATTCCTGTAACTACATGACTGGTTTCAAAAGCATCCTACTTCAAGGATAGACAAAGTGTCACCTCAATTGGAAGTTACCTCTTATCTCCATCGGAAGGAAGAGATAGCTCCTTTATCTGTTGGAAGGCAATATCCTTATGTCGAATATACTTGGAATCATAACTTGACGAACACAAAAGGCGAACCGCATTCTTCTCAGAAAAAAGGAATATTTTCAGCAGCCTTCATGCCAATATCATTGCAACTGATAAAAAAGTGATCAGCACCTAAAGTCCTATTCCAGTGAGGATATTTGGAAATCAACTTTTTCAGGTAGTTGTGGACAATCATCTCCACTTTACTAGGGGAACCTTACTGCATACAACATAAGACAATTTGGATACAATTGCAGAAATAATGCATTAAACACCCATCATTTTTCCACAAGAATCAATCTTTCCAAATCAAGAATAGCCAAAAATCAGTGCCATTGCTTACATCAAATCACAAAGAGCAAAATAAACCATTTTGAGTTACGAAATACTTACTTTTTCTACCATCTTTGGCTACAAGTAGGAATAAAGAAGAGATGAGCCTCTTCCGCATCAGCAATCAAAAACGAACTCATTTTGAGATTACTGAAGAAATATTCTTCGCTTTCATATTTTCTGTTGAGTTTGCTCAGCGAATCACAATACTTTCTTTTGTTTCCGTCTCGGTACACAAATACCTTAAATTCCCTCTCCATTTCCTCATAATTCATCCTGAAAACTGTAGGTGAGTGGAAGATTTCATCCAGAGAATCTGAACCCTGAGTCAAATAATCCATCATAAATCATAAAAAGAGCATCAAGAGAGGATCTAAAAATGTGCATAAACTGAAGAGACGGCAAGGGAATTACTGAAACAGTAAGGAGAAATGTAGAATGTTGACACGTAAAAGTAATCCAAGGTGTATTTGGAACAGTAAGAAACTTGATCTACATTCATGACCATAGAAGTCCATAAAAACGAGCAAGAAAGAAACGCAAGAAAGGGGTTGAAAAGTTAATGAAAGTAGCCTAAATATCAGAATTCTTGAACCCCAGAATCTCATTCATAAACAAAAAAAGAAACTACATTAGAATGGGCATACAAAGATTAAAGAAAACAACAGATTTAAGTTCAAGTACCTGATCAGAGATGAATAGCAGTGAAAACCAGTACAAAACACCGAATGGTACCAAGAGACTGAACGCGACTAAAACGAATAGCGTAAGGACAAGTTCTCTTGATGTCCAATTGGGAGGCAGGTGAACTAAGCATCGGAGGATGCGAATAACCCGTGCATTCACGTTCCTCATCTTCTCGGAGAACTGGTGGGGATGGCATTTTCTCGCGAAAATTGTCCTTGACAGAGAGAGTTTAAAGCTGGTGGGTTTTTGGAGAGTAGGGGTGATGTTACGCTGTATTGCTAGCAGAAGAGAGGAGAAGTAAACCGAAAAAATGCAAATATCTTTTTTATTTTTTATTTTTTTTAGGCGGTTGCAGAGGGGAATGATTTCAATAATCTGTTACTGTCAGTTATCTCCGGTCCTTCTGCCAACCAGAAGACAGAGAGCATACAACAGTTAGGCCCAGTTTTGCTCTGGAATGACTAGGGATGGGCTGAGACTCTGATGCAAATCCTTCTAGGCGAGGGAATTGCGGGCAAGAGGTCTTGTGTAACTGCTTAGGCCCAATTCCTGTGAAGCATTATCTTCTTAGGGTATGTCCTATAAAAGGTAGCTCCAGTTCTAAGTTTTCACCATTCAAACAAATTCAAGATCACATTAGTTCACATCAAATTTAGGATCGTAGCCTCGTGTAGGCTTAAATCATGGGTTATCTACATTGCCTTCCATAGACTGGACATGTGTAATGATATAAATTTTATAATATTTAAGAAGTAATTAGATAATATTTAAGAAATAATTAATAATATATACAATACTTATTTTAATAATCCATTTTTTAAAAAAAAGATAAATACATAATAATAATAATAATAATAACATCTGAATTCATAAAAAGTCATAAAAAGATTTTTACATTTTCTCAAATTTTTTTTTTTTTTTTAATCTCCTGTTTCTTTTTTCTGTTCTCTCTCTTTTTGAGTATTATAACATTTTTCTACATGACGATCATATCACCACACCACACATTGTAGCAACGACACTTCACTTACTAGTGCCATAAAAGCTTGTTTGGCACTGTTAGTGCCCGCCAATTTTTTATTCAGCCATGAATTTTTTTTCCCCCTCCGTTAGATACATTGGACACGGGTTCGCAAAGGAAGAATGACCGCGTAAGGAAAAAGTCTAGAATGTTTACACATAGGACAGCACATTAAGTTAACCCAAGATTGTGAACTCTGTACCACAAGTGCATCAACGCAATTTGTTCAGCTATGGCGGTTTGATAACATAAAACTGGGAGACAGACCGAGCGAAGAATATGCAGTGGATGAAAGGACCCGTTCCCTTTTTTATTCAATTTGATAACAATACAAGAGGGAAGAGACATACTACTGAACATTGACGGCGAAGCTCTTGTTTTGTCCGCATAGTCGTTGAATCACATAAGCATCTTTCAGCAATGGTTTTTCAAGTCCAAGGTTAGTACAATTTCAAAAAGCTCCAACCAAAATAAACATAAAACTTCCGAACAAATGGTGCAATTTCCCCCAAAAAAAATCACTATTAACACAATTATCTTTCCAAAGCTGGAAGGAAACCAGAGGAAAATGACCCAACAAGGAAACTGATATCAACATCAAATCCTAAGAGAATCCCTCTCAATTATAGCAAATTTCTAAACACCCATGGCATCCATACTCCGCATAAAGAAGGTAATCAGGTTACACTCAACACCTGGAAAATCAAAGAAATGAGAAAACCTAAATTTTAAGTGTTTGAAAGCTCAACAATGCTAACAGCTAGCAAGTACCATAGGAAACTATCAGCGCTCTTTAAAAGTTTATTCGACCATAATGACATGGTGACAATGTTGACCGGCAATCCTGACTGGAAATGGGGCAACGTTTTCCAATGAGCCAAACTAATCAAAATAGCACATGGGTCAAAAAATATATATATATTACAGGCTGCTGCTTCTGATAGAAAAGAAAGTAGATCATTTGCCCCCCGTTATTCTTCCTGGAGCCTTGTAAAAAAATGCAATTATAACCCTACACTATATCAGAGAAACAAAAGATATGGAGGGAAGCATCGCACAACTTCTGGTTTGCATGCATCTTTCGGAGCCAGCTTTGAAAGTTGGAATTTCAATAATCTGGAAGTTGCATGCATAAAGTGACTTAGCAATCAAACAAATAGAATGAGCCTGGACGCTTTTAGAAATTTTACCAATGAGCTCAACCAAATGGCTTAAAAGTCTACTGTTGGATAGAGACCTGGCATGTAAGCACGTCCACCTCCATTAGAATCAACATATAAATGTGGATGTAGCTCCCCTGAGTGAGATGACTTCCGGGACTTCGGGTTCTTAGGTGAAGCCGAGTAAGAGTCACTAGAACCACTGGCATACATTGTTGATGTTGGCAGTCCATGGATCTTCGGCAATCCTGTGGAATCACCACTCAAACTGTATCCTCTTTCAACAGTTTCAGCTTCCAATGGCAATTCATCCAAAGTCTGAAGAAAGAATACAGCAATTAGATGTCAGGAATTTCTCAGCACATCTACATTTGCAATGCAGAAGCAGCTAAAGAACCTCATGACAACAGAGCAATTGAATATCTTATCCATGTCTCGGGACAAAAGCCTACTGATGCATGCTAGCTTTTGGGTAGCAAATAAGTTTTCCAAGAGTGGGAAATAAAAAAGTCATTACACCATCACAAGATACCAGACCTTATGGAAAATTAACTCCACGGCCACACCACAGAGCTTATGGAAAAATTAGATACTTATAGAGAACCATAATAGAGCTTGAGAACAGTGTAAATGTAAATGGTCCTGCTGATGGGAGAATCATGAAAAACCTACCCTGAATGCCTGTTGTAGAACTCGGAGTGTTTCTCGTGTCTGCTTTCTCTTCGTTGCTATCTCATCAGGTTCCTGCAACATATCCTCAAACAGATTCTCCCTGTTCCAGTAAGACACAAAACTTCGGGGTTATAACTGGCTTACATTATACAAACTATAATTGAAAGCATGAAATTGTAACCAAAGACTAAAATCAATGTAAAACATTATTGTCACCTGTAAAGTTTTCTAATGAAGACATTGTGCAGCTCACGCTTTGTATGGTTAACCTACAAAATGAATCCAAGTGACATCAGAAATTATCAAATATAACGAATTATGTCCAACTATAGCCAAGATAACCTAAAATGTTCCTTCAATTTGAATTTTCAAAGTACAACAGTTACAACATTAGAGAACTTGTCCAAACTGCCATTCCAACATGGTAGTTTTTCTAATGAAGATGATGATGATGAAAACAAGAGAGTTTTGGAATGCTTTGAAAATACAGACATTATGCAGTTGCGGACAATGTCTGGATAAGATACTAGTTGTGTCAGTAATGCTGCCATACCCAATAACTACTGTTTCTTTAGTTGGGATTTTTAAGAGGAAGAATGGTACAAGCATAATGATACAACAGAATCTTGCATATGTTGGGAAAAAAAAAAATCTTTTCAAGTGTAAATTTTTCTTTTTCTTTTTTCTTTTTTTTTTTTTTTTTTTGGAGTGAATAAAATTAACAGCAAAAATTGCAGAGGAACAAGATGAGCACACCAACATACCCAAAAAGAGAACAGACATGAATAAGGAAAAAAAAAAAAGTGCAAAACCAATAGAAAGGCCCATAATTACACAAGAAATCACTTAACAGCAAAGTGCAAGTGTAATAGCAATTATACAAAGGGCATAGAAAAGTAGCATGTAAATCCACATTAATTAAGAATTACCAGAAAGTGCATAATTGCTTTTGGTACAGCATCCTCAATATTCTTCCGAACAATGTCGTAGTATGATCTCAAGAGCAATTTTGTGACTGCAATTTCAATAGACTCAAGCTCTGAATGGTTTTCTGAAGGCCTCAAGATAGTTGGGGGCTTAGAAAACACAAATATATTCTTGTTAGAATAAAATGCATTGAGATTAGAAGATAAAAAAACATCAGATGATGGGCATAAGGACGGCAATTTGCCGCGCCCCATCGGAACCCCGTTTGAAGGGGGGGGGATGGTACTTAAAATTTTGCCCCGAACGGGGCACGGGACAGGGATGGGGTGAAATTTTTTTGGCCAGGGCAGGGATGGCGATGGCTACCCCCCCCCCCCCCCCAAAGCGCCATTGTGCCTTTACAAATGGCAATTTGACAAGGGCCTGCCCCACCCGTTTGGAGCGGGGATGGTACTCAAAATTTCACCCCGAACGGGGCACAGGGCGGGGATGGGGCGAAATTTTTTCGGCAGCATCCCTGCCCCACCCCATTGCCATCCCTAGATGGGCATAAGCTAGTTGGAACTAGTATTCAAGACAACATACCTCTCTTAAATGAATCATAGAGTAGCTTTGATCCAAGTGTTCTATGCTCTGAGCAGGTTCATTGTATGACTTATTAGTTGAATTTTCTTTAGCAGAGGTTCGAGAATGATCACCTCCACCAAAAATTGATGAGATACCCCAACTTGAAACATTTGTATTCCCTGATAAAACAAATTTAAGTATCTAAAAATGCATGTGTACATCCCATTCGAATTTCTGTGCTGTAGAAATTACCAGCAGGTGCGACCTTTTCAGCTTCTGCCACCGGACGTCCTCCCTGTAAGTCACATAAAGACCAATTGTCTAATTACACAAGCTCTGTAACAGTATGCACTGCAATAAAATTAAGGATTCAAGAATGAACAGGAATACAAAAAATATCATGCCTGATCAGGCACAATCCCATTTACTTGTCTGGCCAGAATAGCCCGAGTCTTCATACCCCTTTCAGAATTCGGTGCCTTATCAGGCTCTATGCCATCCTAATTAACCAAAAAAAAAAAAAATGAAACGAATAGGGACCAAAAGAATAGAAATATGTGATCTAACATTTTAGAAATCAAATAATGGATACAACAGTCCAGAGGAACATTTGCATAGCAGACGTACCTTTTGCCTGGGCATAACAAGAGAAACCTTAGAAGACTTGATCTGCTGCTGCACGATCTCCACAGCCTTGCTACCACCAACAAAATTTGGGTGGGAAGTATTTATGTAGTCCATCTGCAAAAGGAAATAAATGTAATGCAATATCAGAGATGGGGCTCAACAACGCAATCACTCATATAGTGTTGACATCGTAAAGAAATCAAAGAAAAGAGAATGGCAAACAGATTTTGAACCGCAAGGCATATGCATAACGATCATTATATCATGTAAGAACTTTCAATCACATAAGGCAGCCAAAAGGGCCATGATTTGGGATGCAACCAAAGAGTTGGTTCAAGGTCTAAAAATTATGATGTTGGCAGGAAAGTTAGGAAAAGATTTAGGAAAATATTAGTATGAACATACCTCCATTTCAATAATGTGTCCAATCATTGTTTCTGATGGTTCAAGACCATCTCGCAAAAAGTTTCCAATAACTTCATCCATGCGCTTTCTTAGAACAGGAAACCGCTGAAGTTCATTCACTAGACAGCGATGGCTAATCTGAAGAAAGATGAATTTTATTGAAGATCCAACAGTGCAAATGCTAGGTCTGAAAGGTCTCAATCACAACATCCCTACCTTTATTAACTCATCGTATATAAACCTGGCACACTGAAGGCTTGGATCTAATAAACGAGCTATTTGCTTCCTAACAAGAACTTCAAATGGCACCTATATAAACGAAAACCAAAATCATTACACTGCTTGCTTAAAAATAGAAAATTTTTTAAGATGCAAAAGTCAAACAAAAAAGGATCCCACAAGTAAAAGAAAAGTATCTTTTTTTTTTTTTTTAGAAAAAAGAAAACAATAAACATACCTCTGGTACAAACAGTGGACTTCTAGGACCAGTGGCATTCTGAATGATAGTTTGAATGTCACTATCAGTCAAGTCCTCACAGGGATCAACCTCCTGCATAACAAATCAGGTCACTTCAGATTCAGTCAATGAGTGGCAGATTACAGTCACGTTTACCCAAAAAGTACTTGTCACATTACTCACAGGATGATAGCTAAGTTACCAAGCAAATGAACTGAATTGAATAAAAAGGAGCTTATAAATCCTAAGAATACTCAAAAAAAAAAAAAAAAAAAAAAAAAAAAAAAAAATTTCTTGTCACATTATCCAGTGTAAGCAATGACAAAAGAACTTAATTGTATTAATATAAAAGAGCTAACTGCAACTAGACCTAGCATTTTAATCTCCCATTGTTTAAAATAAAAGAGGTAAAAAAAAATTGCAAAATGCAACTATCACGTGCAGCCACAAATACTTGTCATTAAAAAAGCACAAAAGTAGAGGAATGATATGGCCATTCCATAAGTACATCATTTAATTGTTTTAAGGGTAACTCCTGTTCACCACTTCTCCTGGTTAGGTCTGTTCTTGCTACTAAGAGGATTACAAGGCAACATGTTGCTCCTTGTGGTCTGTACTGTTACCTTTTCTTACCAAGCTAACCTTAAAAGCGACACTACACTCTGGGTTGCTACATTGCTGCTATTGCTTATTTTATTGAAACTTAAATTTAAACCCTAGAAACTATTTTTGGAACTCCGTGAAGAAAAAGATAAAAGATATTGTCAAAATGTACAAAAGAACCGTAAACATGAAAGTAGCTAAATTTGAACTATTATTTAAACGATTTCATTAACTTTAATGGGCAAAAGGACAGGGCTCTTAGCAGATATATGTAAAATGCCATACTAAAAGGATAGTAGTGTGCATACAAGCAGAGCAATGTGGGCTTTTGTTCAATTTTCCATAATCTAATTAAATTATAGTTTCAATAGCACCGCAAAGTAAAAATTCTTAACTATAAAAATAGATGCACAAACAAACTTGTAAACAACCATGTCCTAGAAACCCCATTCCATGTAAAACAAGATACTCGGGTCTGCATCCACAAATGAATAGCAAAGTTTAATTGCTGAGAAAAGAACCAAGAAAAGTTAATGCCAGTTCTACAAACCAATGAGGCATTGGTCCAGAGGAACCAAGATTCAAACGTAAGGCTCTAGAACTTGGAATGCCAACATTCAAACTCCCCCAACACCAGCCACCCCACCCCCACAACAGCAAAACCCCAAATTATCCCCCTGAAAGAAAAAAAAAGAGCTACTTCTACTAGATTTACGATGGGTCATCAGGCTTTCAGTCTATTCAAACTAACCAGATGGAGCATTACTCTCATGAAGTAGAAAATATTAAGCATGCACATGAAACTAATAGAAACCATCCAATTAAAAGAACAGTTTTCATGAGGAAGAGCAGGAAAATATTAATATACACACCTCTAAACTCTTCACAAAGATTGATTGAAAAATATAGTGAATTCGTGCTCCTCCAGAGAGCTCAGATGTTGACATTTCTTCATTTTTTCCCTCTACCATAGAAGAAAATGCTGTTTCCAACAAGAAATTGGCACGCATTAACGATCATGAATTAGAAATGATAAAAAATCTACAAAAAAGACATAATTCAGAATGTAAGCCGAAAGAATAACAGGAATTACCTTCAGAATATTTTGAAAGAATGTTCAGAATAAGAGTTCCTTGGCCAGCCTATTATTTACAGAAAATGGTATAATAAGTTAATTAAAAAAAATCATAAAAAATTAAAATTAAAACCAAAAACATCAGCAAGAGTAGACAACTCGACCCTTCTGAAAACAAAAGGAATAATCACAAAAGAAGAGCTCAAGCGTAATGAAATTATGAATGTCAAGCATAAACAACCAAAAACACTACAAAAAACAATTTAAATTTGGGACAATTATCAAGGCAAAGCATCAGCTCAAACAAGTAATATAGTCAGATACCAGATCACAATAAGAGCAAAAATGCAGACATAAAGGCCAACTTTGTGCCTGGAGCAAACACATGGCTTGTGCCAAGAAATCATAAAAATTACTGCCAAGATTCTCTCCACCAAAATTGTAGAGACACTTGGACAAAAAAAAATAAAAAAAAGTAAATAAATACATGCCTTTGATTCTGTGATTTCTCCATAGCTTGCATGTTCTTTTGCAACAGAAACCAAAGCAGAACTTATGCGTGATTTCAAGCCTGGAAGTATTGCCTTTATATGCTGTACTAGAATCTGCAGGGCAAAGTAACAAAATAAGGATCATTCAGAGAAAACAAATCCTATGAAAATCCTAACAATAAATGCATAACACAAGGAATCTACTTTGAAATAATACGTCCTGAAGGCATTCTGGAAGTAAATAATGCTGCAAAAATTCTACCTGATTCAGTTTCTTCGCCAGCTGAGGAACGCCACAACGATCAGATAGACCATTATACACCTATAGAACAGCATGGAAGTAAATAAAGTGATCAATTATTGTAATGATTTTGCACCAAATTAGGAAAAAGAATAAGGAGAAAGGGCAGTTATACTGGACGACTACGGAAGAACTTCTCCTCTGCAGCAAGTGCATCCTTGATGCTCCGATTGAGCATAATATCCTGCATCAGAATAGCCATTCAATAGATTAGCCTACAAGTGGTCTCGAAAATGTCATGGTTCATAATTTTTCAGGAAGCCACGTCATGTGCAATATATGATGGTCATAAAATACACAGCCAGGAATTTCAATAAGTAGAAAATGCTCATCAGATAGGATGATAACTTTTCAAAATGCATCCACACCAGAAGAATATTGAATCAAACAATTAAGAACAAGAAGAGATTTGAAATTCATGAATACTGAAAAGGAAAGCGAAAAATATAGATAAGTCTTATTTTTAATGATTACCAGTACTGAATATTACTTTCTACGCTCAACCAGTAAGGCATCAGAATAAAACCCCAACACCAACACAATTCATTATGGAAAAAACTGATGCAATAAGCAAAACAAGTAAAACATGTTAAAAAGACAGAAACAACAACTGCCAAAATAATTTATCAACCACTTCACAAAGTATCAGCAAAACAACAATCTAAAAGGAGGAAAAAGCAAAAAGGAAAAGAATGAGGTTATATGGCCCTAGATAAATACAATGCAGAAGTATGCACCATTAAACAAATAGCATTATTCCTATGTAGTTACATGATTACCTCTTGACTACGATTCACAACACCAACATAACCAAGTCGAAGGGGAATCACTTTTCCAAGCAACAGATTACGAGCATCAGTGCCTCTGTCCATAATATCCAACTGAGTCAAAGAAAAAAACATGTCAATCCTCCTAAGGAGCAACCAAGATGCTGCAGATGTTAAATCACAGAGAAACAAGATGTTAAAGTTGCAGCCTCACCTTTGTGATTACTCCAATGGTTCTATAACCTGTCAACAAACATTAGCATAAGTCAAACAAGATAAACATGACAAAGTCACTGAGACAAGATATCAAAAGCATACTTACCATCAGGGTCTGCATTTCCTGCAATCTGAAGAGCATCTGAGTTCGCTAAATCTGAATTTGCTGCTGTAACAGCTAGAATCAAACAGCTTGGCCTTTTAATATATGACATGATCATAGTTCTAATCCGTGCTTCAATATCGGAGGGTTGATCACCCACAGGAACCTTTGTTATACCAGGTAGATCTACAAGTGTGATATCAAGAACATTGGGTGAAAAAATCTTCAAACGAATTTGCTTGTCAGAGACACCTTTGTTGCCTCCTGCTTCCTTAGCAGTCTCAGCCTACAACCAATTCAAATTATTGAATAATGAGCTGACTGGTCATTGAAAGTTAAAAGTTATTCAGTAGATATCAACATTCAATGAACCAAAGCCTGATGTACAGTTAACTATTTCCACCTTCAGAAAATCTATTAGAGCCATGCAGGTAACAAAGAATCGATAAAAATGAATATTGCCCTATTAAATACAAAGATCAAAGATCAGTTAAATAAAAACCTGCATGGTGAATATGGGGTACTTAGCAATTAACAGAATACTGTGTTCTTTTGTTCTAATGAACTTTATCAACACTGAATATTCATATGAAAATGCTACCAAAGATCAGCCAAACAAGTTTCATTCTGATAAGCAGGTAAAATTTTGCCAAGTTAAGGATGTTCCCCTCCAACGTAAACAAGGCTCTTTTCAAGTACTTATTAAAAAAAATAAAAATTCAAATGCTCAATCCTTATGTGCTCCATCTGCAGCTCAAACAACATTAACAATGGGAAAAAACTCCAATATCACTTCAAAAGCAAACAAATTATAAGTTCAACAAAAACACCAAACAAAAAGAAATCCTTTCCAGAAAACATGCAATATGTTTTTCCTCCTCACTCAATTTCATTAAGAAAATTTCAACAAAAGTAACATTACAAGTTAATCACTCCCAACAGTACAATCCAAGAAAAATGTCCAATCTGAGATAATCTAATCAATTAGAATCTTAATAACCACCATCACTGCCTTCTTCTGAAAAATTCAAAAAAAAAAAGGGTTCTCAATGATTCCCAGTAATAAAATCACTTCAACCACTTAACAATTCAACAAGCAAACTCAAAAATACATCACTAACAACACTCAATATAATCACACATCCAAGACACTAACAAACCAAAACAAATCACACTATCATTGTAAATTAATTCAAATTACCTCCCATTTCATACATTCCTAAACGCCAACTAAAAAATTACTCAATTTTTTTCCTTCACACTTTTCCTTCAACTTATTAGTAACTGAATTGCTAAAACCAACTCTAAATTTAACTAAACCTTGAAATTCTCCCCTTTTTTTACACCTTTGTTCAACTATTAGTAAATAAAACGCCTGCATGCCAGAACACACGCAAAACAAAACCCAAAATTAATCCCTTAAACATTTACAACACACTAACAAAACACACATGCTCTTTCATCCAACTAATCCACACCTTAACTTCTCTATATTTTCGTTCAATTATTACTGGTACAACCACACGCACTCTATAATATATACACCTCATTCAACAAAACCATTCCTTAATTTCTCCAAGCTTTCTCTCCAACTATCACTCACTCCAAACACACAAAAACATCCAAAAAGTTAAACTATCAAACTCTTAAACAGTTATCATAACCCAAACGAACTCATTAATTGAACGAATCGCCTAATTTTCTCCACATTTTCTCTTCGACAATCAGTAATTACAAAAAACACAAACGCAAAATAAAATTCGAAAATTAAATTCATAAACACATAAAACACAAGCAATCAACCACAAAAAGTCATAATCCACCAAATCCGCACCTGAATTTCGCTCCGGATCTCGGAAAAATCATAAAAGCGTTTCCCAGGCAAATGCAAAAACTCTCCCCACTCCTCTTCCCCACTACCATCACCTTTCCTTTTAGTCTGCAACAACTGCAAAACCAGTGGCCGCCGCGTACAAATTTCATTTCCACGTGGCAAGAAATCTCTCCCAACAAGTGCTTCCAAAACACTCGATTTACCACTGCTTTGACTCCCTACAACCGCCACTTGCGGTAACTCAATCGTCGATTGACTACCTAACTGGGCAAATATATCTTGTAACTTGTTCACTATTGGTATCACTGATGATCCTAGCGGCGGCGCCGATGACGACGGCGGCTGTTGCGATTGTGAAGATAGCGACGGTGATGCTGGTTCATCCGCCATTGATTCTGGATCCACACAGAGAGAGAGACTGTGACTGAAACCCTACCCCTAGGGTTTTGGAGATTTCTAGAGAGAGAAAATGATTTGTTTAGAGATAGAAACTAATGGTGATCGAGGTGTAATTTGATTTTGGAGATGGAGTGTGGTGTGGTTTTTGAGTATTTTCGGCGTGGAAGAGGCTATAATATACGGTGGGCATCAAAGGGAGTTAACGTACGCCCCTTTGTGAGGATTTATAAGGAAGTTTAAAACTTTAAATAAAGTAGTAGAGCTTGAGATAGAAACCGTTTGAAAAAGCATTTTTTTGCTTGGCCGACAAAGCAGAAGGTTTTTGGGTTTTTACTTGTGGGGCAAGACGGGGGATAAAGGGGCTATGGAGAAGTGATTTTGTAAATCACAAGTTTAATTGCGAACAAAAGTTAACCTAGGCTTCAAGTTTTGTTTAGATGCTAGTTTAAAATTGATTCCAATTTTCTACCTAAAAAAAATTAAAAAAATGAATATATTTTTTTCTAAAATTCATCTATTTCATTCTATAAAAAAAAATTATATAACATGTGTCATAATTCTATGAATTTGATGATAAGATTTAAAATCATTTGTCCAAAACATTAAATATAATAACATAATTATGTCTAAAATCAAACATCATTAAACGAACCTTCTTGACATTCAAATTTATTTTTTGAGATTAATGTAATATGGTAGAGTTAAGATTAGACTTTAGTGCATAAGAAAAAAAAAACAAAAAATGATATAGTGTCAAATAAAACTAATATTTGGACTTTGAGGATGTAGGTGTTTATAGTATTATTGTGGATTTTTTTTCTCCCTCGTAGATTTGTTTAGTCTTGTGTAATAACTATTTCTCATTATATCATAATTAAATAAATTATAGTCATTAGAATTTAAATTTATTTTACTTAAAAAAAAACTATATCATATATAATCATTAGACTATGCCATACTTTTAATCAAATCAAAAACATATATTTAATCAAGGCCCGAAAATCAGCTGAAGAATGCGTAATGGTGGCAAGACTAAAAAAATGTAGTTATTACTAAGATTTTTTTTTTTATTGTGGTCAACTATTCTACAAAGTTCAATATGACCTACACAACCTATACGTTTATAAAGACTACGAGGGCATCATGTGCAAGAAAGTTATTAACTAATACTAATAATAAAAAATGCACGAAAATGATATCAGGAACCGCGACATAATATGAGTACGGCTCAGAACATGTGATGAAAAATGTTGGCCTACTAATTCATCATCATTGATTCAGGCTGGATATCTATTAAAATTGGAAATTCAAAGGGATCAATGTGTTAGAGAATGATTAGAGAGAACCGGTAATCAAATATTCTTTGTTTTGATTGATTGGCTATTCCCTTTTTCTTTTTCTTCCCACAGTATTTCTACTCTCTTTTTTGCTTTTTTTTTTTTTTTTTGGTTTAAAAAAACATTCACTACCAATAACAGTACCCCTTTATCAATGTTGTCACCATAACAATATTTTGAGTAAATAATATTTAGTCTTCATATAATACTATAAATCTATAATATTTCTTTATATTTTTTATTATATTTTTAAATAATTTTTAATTCTTCGATCTATCTTTCGATCAATTTCTCTCACCATTGATAATTTCTTAACCGAAATACTTTAGATAAAAAAATATTTAAAATCATATAATTTACATGTTTTATTTTTTAAAATTTATTTATTTATTGCATTTAGGTAAAAAAATTGATCGCAAATTAAAAAACTTAAATAATAATTAAAAACATTATAAATATAAATTTAACTTATATAATAAAGATAAATTAAACTATTTATTCTAATATATTTTTTCAGGTGAGAAAAGCATGCAAACATACTTTGCATCCATTTGATATTACGGAATGAGATTGGCTTTCTGCACAAATCAATTCGATCACCGAAAACTGATTATGAAGTCCATGCACATCTTATATCTAAAACTCCATTTTAAAGATTTTCTAGCTTTTTAAGTTTTTCTACTTTCCTTCCTCCATACTATTTAGAATATACTAGATGGGTACCCGCGCTACATTGCATTCAAGCACTTGTTATATATGTAATGTTAACGATTTGTATGGTATGCTGCGATTAAAAGTTTTATTTTCGATGATTAATGTAAATAGAATCTATATACCGAGTGAAATCGCTTAATTCATATATATATATATATATATATATTTAATAATATTTGCATAAAAATTTGTATTTGAATAATTGAGAAGTTCTTTCAAAACATTATGTAACTTATTTTATTTTAAAAAATAAATTTTAGAATATAAAATATAAATAATAAAGAATTGGTATCATGTGTGCGGATATATAGTTAATTTTTAATAAAACTAATGATATATATATATATATTTAACGGATTCAAAGTGTATAGAATGAATAGAAAAATATACAAAAAAAAACCCTCATAAATTGTATGAAATATATTGAAGTCAATAGACTAAAAAAAAACCACAAAAAAATTGATTCGATAAATTCGAATAAATATATATATATAAATGAAACTTGTGAATTATTTTAAACAAATTGAGCCAAACTATCTAAAACATACTTTTATCTCCCCCCTCTCTTTATATATATAATCATAATTTATAAATTGTAATAATATATTTTTAAAATATAAAACACCAACGTTCTAAAATTTTATTCCAAAATTCATATATTAAAAAAATAAATTTGTTAACAAATAAAATTATATCAAACAAATATCATATACATTCTATCATCTTCAAACTCGTATGTAAAACTATATTTATATAAACTAAGATTGAGTAGTATAGTATGAGGGTAAAGTAAACCATTAGCCTATGTAGAAAAAAATAACGATTGATTTTTAAAAATTTTAATACTCAATCAAATAAAAAAAGAACATAAAGTGATAAGAAAAAAAACCAAGAAAAAAAGACATATAGTGCATCATCTAAGGATTAAAATTTTTATTTTAAAAATTTAGGGATTAGAATGAAATAATTTGAAAATTTGAAAAAAACCTAAGGAAAAAACCTAAGGGTGAAAATGAAAAAAATAAAAACAAAATAATTTAAATTTTTTTTTTAATAAGAAAATAAGTAAGAGTGAAAATTAAAAAAAGAAGGGAAGAAAAAAAAACAAGATTGAGTAGTATAGTTGAGGGTCAAGCAAAAGTTAAAGTAAAAGTAAACAAAAAAATTGTAGTGTTCAAATCAATAGTACCCTCTTCTCTCTCTCTCTCTCTCTCTCTCTCTCTGTGTATATATATAATTAGAATTCATAAATTATAGTAATATATTTTAAAAAATGAAACACTACTTTAAAAAGTATAAAAATAATTTATTGCATAAATTATAATAATGTATTTTAAAAAAACTCCGACATTCTAAAATTTTATTAACAAATAAAATTACATCAAAAAATTAATTTGATTAGAATTTTAATAAGAAACAAATAATTGAAAAAATAAATTTTAAACAATAACAGTAAAAATTTAAACAAAAAAAAAACTCAGAAAATAAGAAAAAATTAATAGTGAATTTTTTTTAAAAGAAAGAAAGAAAAACTAAGATTGAGTAGTATAGTCCGAAGGTAAAGTAAATCATCAACCTATTTGACAAAAAAAATAATGATCGATTTTAAAAAATTTTAACACTCGGTCAAATAAAAAAAAACATAAATTGATGAGAAAAAAAAAGAAAAAAAAAGACATATGGTGCATCGGCTAGGGATTAAAATTTTTATTTTAAAATTTTAGGGATCAAAATGAAATAATTCAAAAATTAAAAAAAAGACTGAGGAAAAAAACTAATGGTGAAAATTAAAAAAAAATTTAAAAAAATAAAAAAAATAAGAATATAAGTAAGAGTGAAAATTAAAAAAGAAGGAAAAAAAAGCTGTTTAAGTGAACAGTTCTTACGTAATTGTTCATTGTTTATACTAATTATAATAATATATTTTAAAAAATAAAACACTCGATTTAAAAAACATAAAAAATAATTTATTGCATAAACTATAATAATATATTTAAAAAAATCAATATTCTAAAATTTTATTAACAAATAAAATTATATCAAAAGATTAATTTGGTTAGAATTTCTATAAAAAACAAATAACTCGGAGAAATAAATTTTAAACAATAAGAGTAAAAATTGAAAAAAAAGGAAAAAAAATAAAATTTAGTATAGTGTGAGGATAAAGTAAATCATTAGCCTCGTTTGGAATAAAATAACGATTGATTTTTAAAAATTTTAATACGCAAAAAAATAAAAAAAAGAACATAAATTGATGAGAAAAAAAAACCAAAGAAAAAAAGATATATAGTGCATCATCTAGGGATTAAAATTTTTATTTTAGAATTTTAGGGAGCAAAAGAAAATAATTCAAAAAAGTTTTTTTTAAAAAAAGCTAAGGGTGAAAATTAAAAAAAAAAAGAAATACTTTAATATTTTTTAAAAAACTAAGAAAATAAGCAAGAGTAAAAATTAAAAAAAGAAGGTAAAAAAAACTCAAGCAAAAAAAAAAAAACAAATGAACAGTACCCAATTGGAATAGTGAAACCATCATCCGTTTTAGATATATACTAGTTTTTTTTTGCATGCGCTATATCACGGGTTGAATGAAATATATTAAATCGTTTAGAAAAATTATTTCAGTTTGATAGTATATTTTATGATGTGAATCTATAAAAATATGTGAAATCAAAGGTGAAAAAATTTATTTATAATTTTTTAATAAAAAATTTTGTATCTAACTATTTCTAATTTGTATTTTTCATAATTTTTTTTGTAGGAAAAAGATTTATCCTTGCTAATCCATGGATTATTAACTAAAAAAGAAAAATAAATAATTTTTTTAAAAATCCTTTAATATTTCATAAGATTGTGTCGAAAGACATAAATAACTATTATTAAAAGCTTACATATAATTGAATAAATAATTTTTTATTTAATGTTGATGAGAATATCGATTTT